GAGTAGTAGGGTATCCCTTTGCCAGGGGTTGTTCGCATTATTGGTTTTGTGTAGATGTGTTTACCGTAGCCCATTGTTTCAAAAACTTCACCAATTTTGAAACTATGTGCCTCAATGGGGAGGCCAAACACCGAGACGTGAGTTAGTTCTTGTTCTATTTTTTGTCTTCGGTTTTCATTAGACATTTTAAACATAAGATGGAAATTATTTATAGTGAGTCCATTTTTAAGGAGCTTATTTTTGGCTTCATGTGTCTTCATAACGATTTCGATTGCTGTATTTCTTCTAAGGAATTGTATGCCTTCGAGTTCTTCATCTAGGTTTTCGTATTCGAGTGCATTTAGTATATCGTTTAATGAGAATTGTTTTTTAATTTCGCAAATGAGTGTTCGTGGGAGTACTCTTTTTCTTATGTCGTTTCGTGCTGCGGCAGCATAATTTTTTGGAGTTTTTTGACTTTCGTTAACTTGTTCTTCGTCATCGGTAAGTTCATCACTACTATATTCAATAATTACGTTTTCGGATATTTCGCCGGCTGATACTTTCGCCATTTTCTTAAGAAGGATAGTTGATAATTCTTCAGTATTTTGATCTTCTATTAATTGCTGTTGGTTAGTTTTGAAAAAAACTGTTTTGTTACTTTTTACAAAGTTTGCCATTAAATTAACAATCTACTATAACCAATTAAAGAGCTAATAAAACCTTTTCCTAAATACTAAACATACTGCCTGAGAAGCCGCTTCGTGATCCGACTTAACTTCCCAGTCAGGTAAGTATACAATTTGGATTTTTCAGAATGACCCAGCTTTTTACATTCATTTCTGATTGTGGTGTTATATTAAAAAATAAACAAGTTTAAAATCTTATAAAGTTTACACAAGTTTACTGTTTACTGAACAATAATTTACTAAAGCGAAACAATGCTTGTTTAATGTTGTATTTTGTTGATATTTGTTTAACTTATTTTAATAGCAGTAAAAAAATGTATTTATTAAAATCAAAATCATCATCAATTTAAAAAAAAAAAAAATTAAGTCATAAATCAAAAAAAAAACTTATCTGCGAAAGTTGGGATCAGCCTGATTTTCTAAAAAAAATTATTAAAAGTTTTATTGACCAGTCGTCCTACATCGTGTAAATGACACTGAAATGAAGTTATTAAAAACAAACTTTCAATTGATCGTTTTTGTTACCACCACAAACTAAATTTCCTTGAATTATATGTTTTTTTTCTGTTATCTGTTTTACGCTTAGTAAAAAAGCTCTTTTTCCATGATCTTTTTTTTTTTTTTTTTTTTTTTTTTTTTTTTTTTTTTATAATTTTAAAACAATAAATATTTACAATTTTATAAATTTACATTATCTCAGTTGATTTTAAATATCTTTTTTTATTACTTGACAAAATAACTCTACCGGAATATATAAGCTTTACAGGTTTTTTTATAATATATAACTGTTTTTCTTGTTTTTGTTTTTTTAAATATACGTTTTACAACTCGTTTTATATAGACATATGTTTACATTTTTTTATTATTTTTTGATTTTATATTTTTTTGTGTTTATTTGATTTTATATAACTTTTTGTATTTTTTGGTTTTATATTTTTTTCTTATTTAAACGAATCTTCAAGTGCTACATAAAGCAGTAATTGAACATGTATAATATATATATATATATATATATATATATATATATATATATATATATATATATATATATATATATATATATATATATATAACATATATAGTATATAAATTGTCCATTGTGAGCAATTATATAGCTATATAGATAATTACTTTCAATTGACAACTTAACTAGTAAATAATGAGTTAAATATGTAAAAAATGAGCGAAACGAAACAATAAATACTTTTAAAAATACCACGTTGAGTTTTAAAAATACCACGCATATTTTATACACATGGGATTTATACGCTTATTAAAAAAATGGTCAATACTTGGTTTATTTAGTGACTGCAAACCCATTGTTCAAGTTATAAAAAGAAGGTTAATGCTATAGAATGTTGATAAGAAAATTATTCACATTCTGATCAAACATTGCTTTTTCCTAATGTTTCCGTAAGAGTTATTTTGTCAAACATTGTCATTGTTGGTTGTTGAGCAACAGCAAGTGAGTGTACATACATTGACTGATTTAAATAGACAAAACATACAGGGTGTGTACGCACACAGTGAAAGGGTTAGGGTTGGCATTAAGATTGCCTGCTTTTACCCAAGTTTTGATTCTATTTATGTACACTCCTTGCATGTTCTTCCTATTTATGTCAGTTGATAAATGCTTATTCTATACATTTTCTCTCTATTTAAACAAGTCAATATATCTTTAACGGATACAGTATATGTGAGCATGCTGTGGATTGCTTTTCTCAGATCAGCTTCTTCTGCTACCTCTACTAGGCCGTATTTACTGGATCAAATACGCTTTTTTACAAACACTTGTCTTGTTCTAACAACCATTTTCGGAGCAGATTGTCCGTTTTTCAAGTTGTTCTTTTAAAACGCTCTACTAGTTCGTTTCCTCTGGGATTGTCTGCTCGTGGACTCCTCGGGTATGCAAGAATGTACGTACTTCTTCTGTATATTACAGAGCTGCTTCTGTCAGAATGAACATACGCGGGCATACCAAACAAAGACAACAAATTCTTAAAACATATTAATACACTGAAATTGAAATACTGAAAAAGAAGAAGTATCAGAGCAAGGATAAACAAATAATTGTAAAGATATAACAATTTTTAGTTTATTTTGGAAGTGGGCCTTTAAAATCTATATTAAGCAATTTTAATTTCTTCGATAGAATAGGGTAGATTCCGACGTGGAAAAAATGATTCAACTTTGTAACACCTGGGTGACAGAAAGCATTATGAGGCTTTACTAATTTTACTTTATTATCGCTTATATACGAACAAGTGGAGTTTATGCTTTCATTCTTTGACAACTTTTGAATAAGTAAAGCAGAACATGAGGCGCGCGTTTACCAATCAGTTGCTTTTTTTTTTTGTTTTTTTTTTTTTTTTTTGTAGTTTTTTAGTTGTTTAGCTGCTCCCAGAAGTCCTTAAGGTTTTATTAAAGAGAACCGTGGGAAAGCATTTAACGGGAAGTTTATGCCTCCCTTCCGTACCAATGTCGCTTGCTTGATTATACTTGGGCGATACTGTATGTTGTAGTAACAAAGTTTGTTACGCTATCGCATTATTGTATGATTTGTAGTTTTGTCACGATGCTTCAGATTGATCATATCAAAACATAAACCTATTTCTTTTCTTTTATTTGTTTTTCGCCTAGTCAAACAGCTTTTCTTTTATGCTCACCTGCCACAAAATTAGTTTAAAATTAAAGTTATTCATAATGTACCCGTTAATGATATTAAAAAACTTTTAGTTCATCTCTGTTTTTTTAATAAAGAAGTAATTTTATGTTAAATGATATACATTTTTGTCATATCTACATAAAAAAATGTATTATATAATTTATTTAGGCGAAGTGGGGGCAAAATCGCATATGGAGGCACAACCATTTTTTAACATTTACCTTTGAAAAATGTTTTCCGTCAGGGTTGTCAGCAAAAACAAAACCACGCGTAGGTAAAACAGTTTCCTTCATTACGCATATGTTAAAAAGAGTGCCTCTTACGTCTCTGAGAAGTTGTGCATAATAATGTTTATTTTGATAAAATATTATATTTACATCATATTTTTCCAGATCTTTCTTTTGAGGAATAAGCAATATTTGATTTTAATGTTAAAGATAGCGTTATTTCGTCAAGTGAAAACCATTTTTGATATCAACATAACCTAATAAGCAAGCTATGAAACTGTATTCTTTCTAAAATTTGTCCACTATGACTGAACCGCGTAGACGCACAGGAGGCACAATCGTATTCTTTTAGTATTTATAAAAGTTAGATAATTACGAATAACAATAATTACAATCGTCACACTTGAATGCGTTTACGTTTAAACTTGAATAGAAATAATTTTGTTTTGTGATGTTGGAAATTAAATTTCGTATTTTTTTTTTTATTTTGACAAATGAGTTTTTAATTAAAATATAAAGCTAAGAGTATAAATCGATATCTTGTTATATTTATGTATATCTGGTGATTATTATTTTATTATACATTGTAGGTATATAATTGTGTATTTCTTAATTTAAAGTGATTCAAAAAAACAAGAAAAAAACAAACAGTACAAGCAGCAGCAGAAATACGTAACTAATACACCGTTTAACGAAATCTGCTGCGAATTACTTTACTGACGTTGCCTTATTACAAAACTATTTGACTATTCAATTCGGGAGAGGGAGGGAGGGGGGAGGAACTCTTAAATTAATGTTTTTAAAGTCGATTTTTTTAATACAATATAAATAAGATAGTAAAAAATGCTGTGGGAAAAGTTGAAGTTGTTGCGGAATACATTTAACATTTTAAGCAAAAGTACTCAAAAAAGAATGCAAAAAAGTTTTTCGAAGCGGGAGAGCCTAAAATTTTTACATTAAAAAAAAATGTTATGAATAATAGACCTTGAAAAAAGTTAGCGTTATGACAAACGTTTTCTTGCTTTTTATGTAAATGTAAATGTAAAAGTAAAAATTCACTTGGGTATTTATTAACTGTTAAATCTTTTACTTTTTATCTCAGAATCTTTAACTGTTGTTTATATTTCTCTCTCTCTCTCTCTCTCTCTCTCTTTATATATATATATATATATATATATATATATATATATATATATATATATATATATATATATATATATATATATATATATATATATATATATATATATATATATATATATATTTTTTTTATTTATTTTTTTTTTTTTTTTTGACTTTTTCTATAATAAGTGTTTTTTGTAATATATATTATATAAACTTTTCAAAACAATTTTTAAAATAATATTAAACCATACCTTTAAAATGTGTATTAGACATTAAATAACTTTTGTCATATGATAAAAAACAACAACAAAAATGTAAGAAATAATATAATGTATTTCTTATCAATTTAATGAATCATAGACTGAACAAGTCTTAACAACTTAATGTTTCATTAGCTGAACACCAACAGATAAAAATTGTTCATAATAAAGCTGAGCTGTGCCGCAACGAGCAGTGTCGTATTGTTGAAAACACTGCGTGATGTTCTAAAATAAACCGTCACGGATTTTTAAAATATAAAGTACAAATTAAGAAAAAAATCTTTTATACAAAACATAAGATTTTAAGATATATATAAAAAAACAACGCCGACTAGATCTCTCCCAATCCTATTTGCATCTTTTATCTATCTCAAACATTTTAAATTTTAATTGTAAAAATAAAAAATGATCAAATCTTTTAGATGCATTGCTTCATTTAACAAATTTAAGCCTGGCTTAGCGAGATTATAGAATGCAAAATATATTATTCTGTCTGTCTTTCAAGGAGCAACATTTACATCTGTCAAGAACGCAAAGAAAACACCATCGAAAGAAATTGTTCATATCCAAGTTCAACCCGACCGATCCTGTTTATGTCATATTTCATAAATGATTTCGTCAACATCTAGAAAACCAATACGTTCAGTAAATTGAAGACTTTTAAAGATTGAAGACATCAAACACACAATAAAGTATAAAAACTAAAATACTTTTTAAAAAATAATTATATTACAGAAACAAATCATGGAAAACATTTAAACATTCATTATTATTAAATAACTATTAATTATCATTTAAATTAAACACTAGCCTTTGACAAATTTTAGATTTTTAAAAATATCAACATGAACTATTTACGGTATTTAGTAAGAAGTTAAAATTCTGATTGCGCGTCCTTTTTAATTTTACATTTAATCATTCGAAAAAATAAATATTGAAAGGTTATAAAATACCTATTTAAAAAGGTTATAAAATAACTCTAGTGTATAACAAATAGAAATTAAAATAAAAAGTTTTCATATAAAATAGATATAAGATTTAGATTTAAAAAATATGAATGTTTGGATATCATCAAGTAAATTCTCAATTTTTATCTGGAGTTTAGAACATATACAGTACCACATTTATAAGACGTTTGTATGGTAAGATTATTTTAGTTATTAGTAATTAGGTTATTAGTTATTAGTAATTAGGATTTTTATTGACTTGTTTACTCATAGATCATTGTTTTATCATTTGCTAAAAGATGACTAGAGTGTGAGTTTTGGTTTCTCTCTTCCTGAGTTGCCAACTTTTACTCCTCCTACTAAATAGTTCAATCTGTTTTTATTTTCACATCTCCCTGGTCTACGTAACTGGACGGCTCCCTTGGTCACTTTTTGCGATCATTGTGTCGCATAAGCAAAACAAACAGAAAAAAAAAAAAAAAAAAAATTTGGGATATCATCAAGTAACTTTTGGATATCATCAAGTAATGAGTTCGAATATTTTTTTCCACTTCGTTACCGTAACATCCATGTATTCATATTTGTAAATTATTACTATTTTTTATAAAAAATTCTATTTCTTGATGAAATATTTTCGGTTGCTATAACTACAGACTACATGTTAAGTATATTAAACAAATTTATTGACATAAAAAATTGAATTTATATGACTATATCTACTCCAATACTGACATTTGTTAATAATTTAATATTCAATAGCAAAATACTCGAAACTTAACATCCTTTAAAAAAACAGTGAAGTAGACAGAAATTTATTTAGAGTTTAAAGTGTACAAATACTGTCCGCTCCGTTACCGGAATACCAATCATTACACATTATTAATGTGATGAATTTCGTGATCGTTCACAACATTAATTACTTCAACCAACGAGACAGTCAAATTTTAATTAAAATGACCCAGATCGATGATATTGTTGCTTAAGTGTTGAATTTGGTAATCATTGTATTGGCCGACAATAACTTCACCACTGTTCAAATTCTGCAGAATTAAAAAAGAAGTTTTTTGCATCATGGAAGTCATTGATTTTAAATTAATTATTTATATACATTATAGGAAAAAAAAAAAAAAAAAAAGCTTTTTTTACCATCCTAGTGCTTTTAGGAAACATATATCGATGTAAATTGTAGTATGTGCAAACTGTAGCTCTCTTACAGAAGCAGCTTAAAACTCGATACAAACAATAAATTTTCTGTTTGTGTGCAGATGATGAAATTTCATAGTACCTGTAATACTTTTAATATTTTGGAACATCTTGAGTCAAAAGAAGTAATTTTGGATCCCTCAATAAAGTAAACTTTGTTAATGAATGTCCAGTGTTAAAACAATTGAATAACTTTTCTGCATCTGGAAGGTCACAACTCATATTAACCAATCAATTTTACGTTTTACAGTTTCTCCTATTGCATTTGGTTCTTTCTTGCCATGTCCATTTTCAAAAAAGTTCCAATCGGCTGAATAGAACTTTTATTCGTATAGCATTGTTGAGAATAAGAAAAAGTTCTGCTTATTCCTATACTGTGTGGTTGGAAAAAAAAAGATCTGTAATTTGTGGGTTATCTAACTTGAGTTCCATTAGCAGGGGTTTCAGATGTGCCCATATAGAAAGAAGATCATGTGTCAAAGAGTCAGATATAGCTGTAAATGATTAATGTTCATTCATTTTATAAATTACTCCTTTATGCTATGTAGTTTGTATGTTAGTTGCTCCAAAATGTGAAGACTGAATTGCACACATAGATCTCAGAAAAATCTATATGTATAATAGCTACAACATGTTACAATACTTCTAATATTTTTAAATATTTTTAATATTTAAAAAAAATTTATTAAGTTTGTCACAAAGTAATTGTATGTTCTCATATTTCGTGCACAGATATATGTCACTATCTTTAGCAGACGGTTTGCGGACAAAAAATGGACAGTAACGAGTATATGAAATATTGAATTTTTCATGAAGGTTTATTAACAAATCGAGTAGTGGCCGCTTTTGTTTTTTATCTTTATTTTTGTTACTGTCTGTTTTTTTCTTGTAGTTATTCTAGAATTATCATCACGTGTAAGAAACTCTCTGATCAAATCCGATGGTAATCGCTGTTTGAAGTTGTATTTTTTGACGACAAAGAAGAATTGGGGTTTTAATACCTTCTGATAAATTAGACATCTTGCTTGTTTCGTTTGTAAGAGAATTGTTTTCTACAGAAGAAGTAGACCAGTGGTTGTAGGTAAATTTGCTTTTGAACCAAGCAAGGAACATTTAAACTTTAACCAAGGTTTTTTATTCTTGTTAAAACTATTTTCTTCTGAACATCTAGCCATTTCCAACTCGTCCGTCAATGTTTTTATTTGTCTATAAGCTTTTGTTTTTCGGTAAGCAACCTTTGCTCTATTGCTACTCAACTCACATTCTAATGATGATGTTTCAATCTTCCTTATCATAGCTCTAAATCTTGCTTTCTGGTCGCAACAATGACGACAAACAATTCGTTTATTTCTTTTTGATAGTTCTGAGATAACTTTCACTTACTTCTGTTTACGACGTATGTGCCAACTTTTACGCTCTTTTTCACGAACTGTTTCTGCATTTTTTTGTTAACTGTCTGTCCGAAACGTTTTCTGAATTTCAGCACGTGATTTCTTAAAATTTTTTATGTTGTTTTCTAGATGTATTTACTGTTAAAAAAATAGTATTATAATTGTAATTTTACAACAAAAATTTATTAATCATTATTACAATATGTTTCAGGCTGCGCATCATTTATTTTTGGTTTATATAAGTATAAACCAAAAATAAATGAAACCCTATGCAAACTTAAACTTAAACCCTGCAACTTTATTATTACCAAAAAATAAATGAAACCCTAGTACTAAACAATTAAAAAAAAATTTCTTACAACCCCATATAAGTAAAAGAGGCGTCCTATGATTCAACCGAATCTCTAATTTCAATTTAGAACCGAATATGAGAAATTTATTACACAACCGAAAATATTTACGAAAAAAATTAGAACCGAAAAAATTTCAATCGAATTTTCGATCGAAAGTCATTAATGATTTTAGAACCGAATTTCATTAAAATGGTTTACAACCGAAAGTTACACTTAATTAATTACAATTAAGTGAGCGTTTTTAGAAAACGATGAGGGAAAACGAAGAATAATGAATGAAAAGGTTGCTGACCCATACCAAACCCTCAGTCGGTGTAGGAGCACTCCACTGCGAGTCAGGCTATTTGTCAGTCGATGTATGTACTGAAGCCCCCAGCAGCAGGCTATTTGACGTTAGGTGAGTATGACATCATCATGCTCACCTAACTCAGCAGTATAAGATATATGTATATATATTTTAAAGAAATTTTAAGGCCGTTTTCCACAAGACGAAATATTCGCGCGAAGCGAGTTTTTTCGCTATGACGCTGTTTTGATTTCCAATTACTTTCTTTCGCGCTACTTTTTTTTCGTTGTCAACAATAAAAATGGCAGCAATAAGTTTACGCTGTATGTTTAACTAAAAGCATTTATTACTTTTTTAGCATACTTTCTACTTTGAAGCATGTGAAAATTTCTTTCCATGCATTAATATTAACATTTCTGCCTTTATATGTAAGATGTGATATTATTTTGTAATATAATCATTTAATATAAGGTTTTTTTTACAAAAAGTATAAGAAAATAAATGCTAAACTCTGATATGAACATTTCGATTAAAAAACTGTTACTGAAAGAAGGAACAGCAGGTTTAACTCTATGTAGAATTTTTCACAAAAAGGTTTATCTTCGTGTGGCCACTTAAAGATAAACATTCTTATGAAGTGTAACTTTTATTATTGACAGTGTGAAAATTTATATTTGTAAATTCTCGATTTAGTTTTCTATATAAATCTGGTCATTTTTTTATGTAAGTCTTGCCCCTTGTTTGATGAATTTACTCATGCTTGCCAATTTTAAAGAGTAAGTTCATATAAAATTAATAAGAACGCTAGGTTAAGAATTTTGTTTTTTGTTACTTTAAAAACATGTTTTCGCTTTTTTTTAATGTTGACACCACGTGATATAATATTTAAAATTTGATTGGTTTTCGCTTATGGCGATTCGCAAAAAGTCGAAATGAATCCGACTTTTTTTTTCGCTGCAGCGAAACGCTGTAGCGAAAAAAAATCAGTATAATCGCCAAAAATGTTTAATCTGCGCATGCTTAACGACGAAAAAATTCGCTTCGCGCGAATTTTTCGTCTTGTCGAAAACGGCCTTTAATTGTTTATTTTATTGTAAAACGACTAACTGAAAAAAAAAAAAAAAAAGATTAAAAAAAGAAAGGATTTTGTAATTCGATCCAAATTTTTTCGGTTGTAAAATTCGGTTTAAAAACTTTCGGCGCAAGAAAGGATTTTGTAATTCGATCCTGCAATGAAAGTATACTTTTCGGTTCTAAAATTTTCGGTTGTGAAATATTTCGGTGATATTTTCGAGGATAAATATTTTCGGCTCTATCATGTGACACGGTAAAAGAAAGCAGCGTAATATGTTGCAACTTTTATATTTATTTGCATTATTATATTTCAACGCTGCAATGAATCCCTAATGGTTGGAATGTTTACTCAATGCAGATAATGACATTGT